GTGGCATTTAAGGGTTAAATAAAATGGAGCATTTTACACGAACTAGAACGTTTAGAACACCCAAAAATTGCAATTGCAGTTCCGAATAACAATGGCGTCTTTTTGTTTTGTTGTTTAAAAGACGGTTAGCGGTACGAATTTTTTCGTATGTGTCTGGACGACCATCTCTGTAACATTTTATCGTGAATGAGTCGTTATTTTTCAGATAACAAAGAATCAACGCCCTATCATCGCAAGAGAACCAAGAACACCAAGAGAACGAGGTGCGCCAGGTTTCCGTGTCCTAATTCGAATTGCCGGAGAGTCTTCAAGTGGAAAAAGCACCTGCTGAGCCACCTTCGCCACGAATGCGGCCAGGAGCCTAGGTTCAAGTGTCCCTACTGCGACTACGTAAGCAAGTTCAAGAACGACAACGTAAAGAGACACATTCGGCTCAAGCATAAGAATCGCTATGTCTACGTCATCGATATTGAGCGGAATGTTGTTTGTTAGGATGCAAAGAAATGTGTTATTTTTTAAGTTAACAAGAGATCGTTTTTGGTTGAATGAAATATAACAATGAAGTAAAAGTATGTTCTTTTTGCAACCTTATATTAAAATCTTAATGTACTTGCCATATTTTATATTCAAATTTTTCTTGTATCCACTGTATTTAAGGCGAATGATAGTTATTACCGTAATTTTTTTATTTTATAACTGCAAAAGTTGCAAATGCTAGCTGTAAAATTAATTTTTTTTTTAAACATACAGTTATTCTAACCTTTGTTAAAATGTAAGGAAATCTTTATGGACAATAAAGTATTCTTATACACATTGGAATGTATATAATGTTTTTGTATATATTAGAAGTTGCTATTTTTTGAAAATACACCTATATATATTTAAAAAATACAGAATCAACACTTTTATTTTAGACATTAAGTAGTTAGAATTACAACTATTGAAAACTGACAACGAGAAATAAAGAAAAAGCGTGAACTTTGTGTGATATTTGTTATTGTATAGAACGTTTAATTTAAATAAAATGGAGCACTTCACATGAACAAGAACGTTCAGAGTTCTCAAAAATTGCGACTGCAGTTTCGAATAATAATGGCATCTTTTCGTTTTGTGGTTTAAGAGACGGTTAGCGATACGAACTTTTTTTGTATATGTCTTGACGACCATCTTTGGAACATTTTATCGCGAATGAGTCGTTGTTTATCAGATAACAAAGAATCGACGCCCTATCTTCGCAAGAGGACTAAGAAGACTAGAAAAAAGAAGTGCGTCAAGTTTTCGTGTCCTAATCCGAATTGCCAGAGCACTTTCGTGTGGAAAGAGAGTCTGGTGAACCATCTTCGCTACGAATGCGGCCAGATGCCTAGGTTCAAGTGTCCCTACTGCGACTACATATGCAAGTGCAAGGCCAGCATAAGGAGGCACATTCGAGGCCAGCATCAAAATCGCTATGTCTATGTCATCGATATTGAGCAGAATGTTGTTTGTTAGGATGCAAAGAAATGTGTAATTTCTTAAGTTAACAAGAGATTGTTTTTGGTTGAATGAATTATGAAGTATAACAATGAAGTTAAAGTATGTTCTTTTTGCAATCTTATATTAAAGTCTTAATGTACTTGCCATATTTTATGTTCAAATTTTTCTTGTATCCACTGTATTTAAGGCAAATGTTATTACTGTAATTTTTTTATTTTATAACTGCAAAAGTTGCAAAAATGCTATCCAGCTGTAAAATTTCTTTCTTTATTTAAAACATATAGTCATTCTAACTTTTGTTAAAATGCAACTGTCTTAAAATGCAATCTTTATGGACAATAAAGTATTCTTGTACACGTTGGAATGTGTATACGCCCTTATGCTATCTTTTGAAAGTACACCTATCTATATCTATATATTTAAAGAATACAGATTCAACACTTTTGTTTTAGACATTAAGTAGTTGAGAATTATTACTATTGGAAACTGACAACGAGAAATAAAGAACGTTTAGTTTAAATAAAATGGAGCATTTTACACGAACTAGAACGTTTAGAACACCCAAAAATTGCAATTGCAGTTTCGAGAAGGAAAAAGAAAATCCGCATAGATAAGCAGATCTCGTTTGAATTAATTATTTTCGATTTTTCTCACACATAATGACGCGTTTTTCCGAAATTGAAAAAGACTAGCGGCACAAACTCCGCCTTTTCACATACGTCTCGACGAGTATCTCCGAAGCATTTTATTGCAAACGAATCATTATTTTCAGATAGCAAAAAACCAACGACTTATCTTCGCAAGAGGAATAAGATCACCAGGAAAAAGAAAGGCGTTAAGTTTTTGTGTCCTAATCCAAATTGCCAGATGATTTTTGAGTGGAAAGAGAGTCTGCAGAGACATCTTCGCTACCAATGCGGCCAGAAGCCCAGGTTCAAGTGTCCCTACTGCGACTATGTATGCAAGTGCAAGGGCAGCGTAACGAGGCACATTCCAACCAAGCATAAGAATCACTATGTATATGTCATCGATATTCAACGGAATGTTGTTTGCTAGGATACAGAGAAAGGTGTTATTTTTTAAGTTAACACTTTTTATAACAACGAAGTTAAAGTATGTTTTTTTTACAACCTTAAATTACAGTCTTTGCGTACTTACCGTATTTTGTATTTAAATTTCTATTATTTTTGCTGTATTTAAAACAACTAAGAGTTAATATTATAATTTTTTCATATAATGACAAAAATTGCAAATGCTATCCCGCTATAAAATCGATTATTTTCTTTAAAAAATACAGCTACAAAAAACGTGGAAATCTCTAAGGACAATAGCGTATATTCTTGTACACATTGGAATGTATATTAGAAGTTCCATCTTTTGAAAATACACCTATAAGTATATTGAAAAAATTAATATTCAACATTTTTGTTATGGACATCAAGTAATTAAAAATTGTTACTATTGAACAATGACAACAAGAGTTAAAGAATGAAATGTGAAATTTGTGTGATATTTGTAATTGTATGGAACGTGTACTTTAAATAAAAAAAATGGAGCATTTTACACGAATAAGAACGTTCGAAGTCCCCTAAAATTGCAGTTTCGAGAGGGAAGAAGAAAATTCGCATGGAAAAGCGAATTTCTTTTGAATTAATTATTTGTGATTTTCCGTCTATACATATATAAATAACAGCATTTTTGTTTCGTTCCGAAGAGAACGAAATGATTAGTGGTACGAACTTTGCTTTTCCGTAGGTACGTATCTGAACGAGAATCTCTGAAGCATTTTATTGCGAACGAGACGTTTTTTTTTTTTCAGATAACAAAAAACCCACGACCTCTCGTCGCAATAAGATCAAGGACATGAGAATGAGATACGCCAAGTTTCCGTGTCCTAATCCGAATTGCCAGAGTAGCTTCGGGTTGAAAAGCAACCTGGGAACCCACATTCGTTACCACTGCGGCCAGAAGCCGAGGTTCAAGTGTCCCTACTGCGACTACATATGCAAGTTCAAGGCCGACGTAAAGAAACACATTCAAGCCAGGCATCAGAACTGCTATGTCTATGTCATCGATATTGAGCGGAATGTTGTTTGTTAGAGTACAAAGAAATGTGTATTATTTCTTAAGTTAACAAGATATCGTTTTTTTGTAACAATGACGTTAATATATGTTCTTTTTGCAACCTTATATTAAAATCTTAATGTGTACTTGCCATATTTTATGTTCAAATATCTACTGTATGACAATGATTGTTATTATTTTAATTTTTTCATATTTGCATAAATTGCAAATGCTATCTACCTATAAAATTAATTTTTTTTAATATAGTTATTCTGATTTTTGCTAAAATGCGAGTAAATCTTTACGGATATTAATGTATATTTTTGTACACATTGGAATATATATTATAAATGTCTATCTTTTGAAAATACACTATATGTGAAAAAATTAAATGTGCAAGTAGAAACCTTCGCTCACAAAGCTCCTCTATGAGGAAGTTTGTATTTTATTCAATGTATAATTATTAGTATTTATTTGCTTTGGCTTTCTCATAGAGGAAGCTTGTGAGCGAAGGTTTCTACTTGCACACTTAAAAACTATAAGGAAGCAATGTGCAGGTTTACATTTGTACACTTAAAAACTATAAGGAAGCAATGTGCAAATTTCTACCTGCAAACTTTTTTTTTATTGTAATTACGCTTTATTGCGACTAATATCTGTTATACTAATATCTGTTATACTATTACAAAAATTAATTAAACAATTAATATTTTTACTAAAATGATCTCTACTAATTATGGATATTTTTTATTTCTATTTTGTTCAATCGATTAGTTAATTCTTCCACGGAAGTAATATGCAAGTTTCTACTTTGCACACTTTTAAATTATTTTTTTAAATTTTGTATCGCGTTGTATTTTGGCATTCAAATAATGTAATACATTCCTTTTATTTATTCTTATTTTAAAAAATTAATACATTTTTTTTAAAGGAAGTTTTGATTTTTCCACAGTATAAATGCCTGTAGGTTTTCTAATTTCCGCAAATTTTGAGATTTTGGGCAGGATATTGTAATATATATTTAAAAAAATATATGATGTTCTACTACAAGCAGAGAAATGCATTCCTGATAATGAATGCATTTTATTATTAGGTTCACCAATCTTCGTCAAATTCAAAACAACCTTCCTTTAATAATATCTTATATATAAGATTACGTATATAACTTGTACACTTTAGGCAAAAATGGGTAACTTCCGGCACATACTTCCGGACATTTTCTAATAATATGATTTCTCGACATTTTAGAACATTCTAAATCTCGAAAAATTTTTTTTTCATTATTACAAACCTTTCTCTAGGAGGAAGCAATATAGATACAACACTTTTGTTTTTAGACATCAAGTAAAGTATTATTACTATCGAAAACTGACAATGTGAGAATTAAAAAAAAAGCTTGAAATTTGTATGATATTTGTAATTGTATGAAACATTTATTTTGAATAAAATGGAACATATCACGCGAATTAGAACGTTCAGATCAAAAAATTGCAATTACAGTATCGAAAGGGAAGAAGAAAGTCCGCATGGACAAGCGGATTTCGTTTGAATTAGGTATTTTTTATCTTCCACCTAAATAATAGCGTTTTTTTGTTCTGAAGTTTAAGAAACGATTAGCGGCACAAATTCTGCCTTATCGCGACGAGTATTTCTGGAGCATTTTATCACGTACGAGTCATTATTTTTCAGATAACAAAGAACGCACGACTTACCTTCGCAAGTGGACTAAGTACACCAAGAAAATGAGATGCGCCAAGTTTTCGTGTCCTAATCCGGATTGTCGGAGTGCCTACACGTGCAAAAAGAACCTGCATAGCCACCTTCGCTACCATTGCGGCCAGAAGCCCAGGTTCAAGTGTCCTTACTGCGACTACATGTGCAAGTTCAAGGCCGACATAAGAAAGCACATTGGGCGCAAGCATAAGAACCGTTATGTCTATGTCATCGATATTATTCGGAATGTGATTTGTTAGGATACAAAGGAATGTGTATTATTCTTAAGTTTACAAGAGATCGTATTTGGTAACGATGAAATTAAGGTTTATGTTTTTAAAACCTTAAATTACAATCTTAGAATACTTGCCATATTTTATGTTTAAATTTCTATTATATTCGCTGTATTGGAAACAAATAAATGTTATTATTGTAATTTTTTCATAATTGCATAAATTGCAAATGCTTTCCAGCTATAAAATTGATTTTTTTTTTAAATATAGTTATTATGACCTTTGTTAAAATGCAAGGAAATCTTTATGGACAATAATGTATATTTTTGTACACATTGGAATATATATATTAGAAGTTACTATCTTTTGAAAAAATCCACCTGTATATTCAAAAAATTAAGATTCAACACTTTTGTACAGACATCAAGTAATTAAGTATTGTTACTATCAGAAACTGACAATGAGAATTATAAAAAGTATGAAATTTGTGTGATATTTGTAATTGTAAGTTCTTAGTTTAAATAAAATAAAGCATCTGACACGAACAAGAACGTTCAAAGCCCCCAAAAATTGTGATTGCAATTTTGAAAGTGAAGGAGAAAATCAGATCTATGGGAAAGCGGATCTTGTTTTATAATTAATTATTTGCGATTTTCCGTCTAAATAATTGTGATCTTTTCGTTCCAAGATTCAAGAAATGATTAGCGGTACGAACTTCGCTTTTTCGCGCGCCTTTCGACGAGCATCTCTGAAGCATTTTATAGCGAACGTTATTTTTCAGATAACATAGAACCAACAACCTATCTTTGCCCGAGGACCAAGAACACTAAGAAAATGAAGTGCGCCAAGTTTTCGTGTCCTAATCCGAATTGCCGGAGCGTTTTTGAGTTGAAAATTAAATTGTATAGACATCTTCGCCACTGCGATATGAAGCCCAAGTTCATGTGTCCCTACTGCGACTACATGTCCAAGTTCAAGGCCGACACAAAGAGGCACATTCGAGCCAAGCATAAGAAATGGTGTGTCTATGTCATCGATATTGAGCGGAATACTGTTTGTTAGAATGCAAAGAAATGTGTTATTTTTTAATTTAACATGAAATTGTTTTTGGTAACAATGAAGTTAAAGTATGTTCTTTTTGCAACCTTATATTAAAATCTTAATATGTACTTGTTATATTTTTTGTTCAAATATCTATTATATCCACTGTACTACTGACAATAATAATAATTATTTTAATTTTTTCATAATTGCATAAATTGGAAATGCTATCCAGTTACAAAATTAATTTTTTTTTTTTTAAATATAGCTATTCTGACCTTTGCCAAAATGCGAGGAAATCTTTATGGACATTAGTGTATATTCTTGTACACAGTGGAAATATTAGAAATTTCTCAGTCTTTTGAAAATACATCATATATATTAATAAAGTTAAAATGCGACACTTTTGTTATAGACATCAAATAATTAAAAATTATCGAAAATTGACAACAAGAATTAAAGAAAAGGTGTGAACTTTGTATGATATTTGTAATTGTATGGAGCATTTAGTTTAAATAAAATGGAGCATCTCACATGAGCAAGAACGTTCAGAGCCCTAAAAATTAGAGTTCCTATAATAAGAGTTAGGACACCGTTATAGCTTTGTCTCACTCCCACTAACTTGACTGAAACATATGGCGGGACCAATTAAAAATCGTCACCACATTGGCTTAATTCTTATTAAGCCAATTAGGAACTCTACTAAAAATTGTGATCGCAGATTGTTTCGAGAGTGAAGAAGAAAATCAACATGGAAAAGCGGATCTCGTTTTAATTAATTATTTACGCTTTTCCGCTTAAATAGAAGTGTTTTTTTCGTTTCGTTGTTTAATAAATGATTAGCGGCGCGAACTTTGCTATTTTGCATGTGTCACATGTGTCTCGACGAGCATCTTATGGCTAACGAATCGTTATTTTTCAGATAACAAAGGACCTATGACCTATCCTCGGAAGAGGTTTAAGAAATTGGTCAAGTTTCCGTGTCCTAATTCGAATTGCCGGAGCGCCTTCGGGTACAAAGCCAACCTGCAGAAACATCTTCGCTATTGTTGCCAGAAGCCTAGGTTCAAGTGTCCCTACTGCCACTACGGATCCAAGCGCAAGACTGACATAAAAAGGCACATTCATTCCAAGCATAAGAACCGCTATGTCTATATCATCGATATTGTTCGGAATGTTATTTGTTAGGATACAAATAAGGAATGTGTATTATTCTTAAGTTTACAAGAGATCGGGTTTGGTAACGATGAAGTTAAGGTTTATGTTTTTAAAACCTTAAATTATAATCTTAGTATACTTGCCATATTTTATGTTCAAATTTCTATTATACTTGCTGTATTGAAAACAAATGAATGTTGTAATTGCAATTTTTTTTCTCTAAGAAATATAGCTATTTTGACGTTTGCTAAAAAGCGAGGAAATCTTTGTGGACATTAGTGTATATTTTTGTACACATTGGAAATATTAGAAATTTCTCAATCTTTTGAAAATACATTATATATTAATAAAGTTAAGATTCGACACTTTTGGTATAGACATCAAGTAATTCAAAATTATCGAAAATTGATAACAAGAATTAAAGAAAAGGTGTGAACTTTGTATGATATTTGTAATTGTATGGAGCATTTAGTTTAAATAAAATGGATCATCTTACATGAACAAGAACGTTCAGAGCCCTAAAAATTAGAGTTTTTATAATAAGAGTTAGGACACCGTTATAGCTTTGTCTCACTCCCATTAACTTGACTGAAACATATGGCGGGACCAATTAAAAATCGTCACCACATTGGCTTAATTCTTATTAAGCCAATTAGAAACTCTACTAAAAATTGTGATCGCAGATTGTTTCGAGAGTGAAGAAGAAAATCAACATGGAAAAGTGGATCTCGTTTTAATTAATTATTTACGCTTTTCCGCTTAAATAGAAGTGTTTATTTCGTTTTGCTGTTTAATAAATGATTAGCGGTACGAACTTTGCTATTTCGCATGTGTCTCGACGAGCATCTTATGGCTAACGAATCGTTATTTTTCAGATAACAAAGAATCCACGACCTATCGTCGGAAGAGGTCTAAGAAATTGGTCAAGTTTCCGTGTCCTAATGCGAATTGCCAGAGAGCCTTCGGGTACAAAGGCAACCTGCAGAGTCATCTTCGCTACTGTTGCCTGAAGCCTAGGTTCAAGTGTCCCTACTGCCACTACGGATGCAAGCGCAAGATCGACATAAAAAAGCACATTGAGCGCAAGCATAAGAATCGTTATGTCTATGTCATCGATATTGTTCGGGATGTTGTTATTGAAAAGGAGAATTAAAGAGAAAATGTGAAATTTATGTAATATTTGTAATTGTATGGAACGTTTTTGGTTTAAATAAAATGGAGCATTTTACACGAACAAGAACGTTTAGAGTTCTCAAAAATTGCGACTGCAGTTTCGAATAATAATGGCGTCTTTTCGTTTTGTGGTTTAAAAAACAATTAGCGGTACGAACTTTTTTCGTATGTGTCTTGACGACCATCTTTGGAACATTTTATCGCGAATGAGCCGTTATTTTTCAGATAACAAAGAATCGACGCCCTATCTTCGCAAGAGAACCAAGAACACCAAGAGAATGAGGTGCGCCAAGTTTCCGTGTCCTAATTCGAATTGCCAGAGCGACTTCGTGTGGAAAAAGCATCTGCAGAGCCACCTTCGCTACGAATGCGGCCAGAAACCCAGGTTCAAGTGTCCCTACTGCGACTACGTATGCAAGTGCAAGGGCAGCGTAACGAGGCACATTCCAACCAAGCATAAGAATCACTATGTATATGTCATTGACATTCAACGGAATGTTGTTTGCTAGGATACAGAGAAAGGTGTTATTTTTTAAGTTTACAAGAAATCGCGTTTGGTAATGAAAAGTTAAGGTTTACGTTTTTAAAATCTTAAATTACAATCTTAGTATACTTGCCATATTTTATGTTCAAATTTCTATTATATTTGCAGTATTGGAAACAAATAAATGTTGAAATTGTAATTTTTTTATAATTGCATAAATTGCAAATGCTATTCAACTACAAAATTAATTTTTTTTTTTTAAGAAATATAGTTGTTTTGACCTTTGCTAAAATGGGAGGAAATCTTTACGTACTATAGAGTATATTCTTGTACACATTGGAATATATATTAGAAATTTCCATTTTTCGAAAATACATTATATATTAATAAAGTTAATATTCGACACTTCTGTAATAGGCATTAAGTGATTAAAAATTGTCGAAAATTCACAACAAGAATTGAAGAAAAGGTGTGAATTTTGTGTGATATTTTGTAATTGTATGGTTCGTTTATTTTAAATAAAATGGAGTATTTCATATGAGCAAGAACGTTCAGAGCCCCCAAAAATTGTGATCGCTGTTTCGAGAGTGAAGGAGAAAATCAACATAGACAAACGGATATTGTTTTAATTAATTATTTGCGATTTTTCGCCTAAATAAGAGTGATTTTTTCGTTTCGTTGTTTAAAAAATGATTAGCGGTACGAACTTTTCTTTTTCGCACTTGTCTCGACAAGCATCTCTGGAGCATATTGTCGCCACTGAGTTGTTATTTTTCAGATAATAAAGAACCCACAATCTATCGTCGCAAGAAGACCAAGAACACCAAGAAAAATAGGCGCGTCAAGTTTTTATGTCCTAATCCGAATTGCCGGAGCGCTTTTGGGTTGAAATACAGCTTGCGGCACCATCTTCGCCACGAATGCGGCCAGAAGCCCAGGTTCAAGTGTCCCTACTGCCACTACATATGCAAGCGCAAGACCGACATAAAAAGGCACATTCAAGCCAAGCATAAGAACCACTATGTCTATGTCATCGATATTGTTCGGAATGTTGTTTGTTAGGATACAAAGGAATGTTTATTATTCTTAAGTTTACAAGAGATCGGGTTTAGTAACGATAAAGTTAAGGTTTATGTTTTTAAAACCTTAAATTACAATCTTAGTATACTTGCCACTTGCCATATTTTATGTTTAAATTTCTATTATATTTGTTGTATTGGAAACAAATGAATGTTGTTATTGTAATTTTTTCATAATTGCATGAATTGCAAATGCTGTCCAGCTATAAAATTAATTTTTTTTTCTTTAAGAAATATAGCTATTTTGACGTTTGCTAAAATGGGAGAAAATTTTTATGGACATTAGTGTATATTCTTGTACACATTGGAATATATATATTAGATATTTCTATTTTTTCGAAAATACATTATATTAATAAAGTTAAGATTCGACACTTTTGTTATAGGCATTAGTGATTAAAAATTGTCGAAAATTCACAACAAGAATTGAAGAAAAGATGTGAATGTTGTGTGATATTTTGTAATTGTATGGATCGTTTAGATTAAATAAAATGAAATATTGCACATGAGCAAGAACGTACAGAGCCCCCAAAAATTGTGATCGTTGTTTTGAGGGCGAAGAAGAAAATCAACATGAACAAACCGATACTGTTTTAATTAATTATTTGCGATTTTTCGCCCAAATAAGAGTGATTTTTTCGTTTCGCTGTTTAAAAAATGATTAGCGGTACGAACTTTTCTTCTTCGCACGTGTCTCGACAAGCATCTCTGGAGCATTTTGTCGCCACTGAGTCGTTATTTTTCAGATAACAAAGAACCCACAATCTATCATCGCAAGAGGACCAAGAACACCAAGAAAAAGAGGTGCGTCAAGTTTTCGTGTCCTAATCCGAATTGCCAGAGCGCTTTTGGGTTGAAATTCAGCTTGCGGCACCATCTTCGCTACGAATGCGGCCAGAAGCCCAGGTTCAAGTGTCCCTACTGCCACTACATATGCAAGCGCAAGGCCGACATAAGAAAGCACATTGGGCGCAAGCATAAGAACCGTTATGTCTATGTCATCGACATTATTCGGAATGTTGTTTGTTAGGATACAAAGGATATTATTCTTAAGTTTACAAGAGATCATATGTGGTAACGATGAAATTAAGGTTTATGTTTTTAAAACCTTAAATTACAATCTTAGTATACTTGCCATATTTTATGTTTAAATTTCTATTATATTCGCTGTATTGGAAACAAATAAATGTTATGTTATTATTGTAAGTTTTTCATAATTGCATAAATTGCAAATGCTATCCAGCTCTAAAATTAATTTTTTTTAAATATAGCTATTCTGACCTTTGTTAAAATGCGAGGAAATTTTTACGGACTACAGAGTACACTTATTCTTGTACACATTGGAATATATGTTAGAATTTTCTGTTTTTTAAAACTACACCTATATATTTGAAAGATTAAGATTTAGTACTTTTTTTTATAGATATCAAGTAATTAAAAATTGTTATTATTGAAAACTTACACCAAGAATTAAAGAAATGTAAAGTTTATGTGATATTTGTAATTGTGTGGAGCGTTTAGTTTAAATAAAATGGAGTATCTTACAGGAGCAAGAACGTTCAGAGTCCCCAAAAGTTGTAATCGCTGTTTCGAGAGTGAAGGAGAATATTAACATGGACAAGCGGATATTGCTTTAATTAATTATTTGCGATTTTCCGCCCAAATAAGTGTTTTTTTCGTTTCGCTGTTTAAAAAATGATTAGCGGTACGAACTTTTCTTTTTCGCACGTGTCTCGACAAGCATCTCTGAAGCATTTTGTCGTCACTGAGTCGTTATTTTTCAGATAACAAAGAACCCATAATCTATCGTCGCAAGAGGACCAAGAACACCAAGAAAAAGAGGTGCGTCAAGTTTTTATGTCCTAATCCGAATTGCCAGAGCGCTTTTGGGTTGAAATTCAATCTGCAGAAACATCTTCGCTACCAATGCGGCCAGAAGCCCAGGTTCAAGTGTCCCTACTGCGACTACATATGCAAGTTCAAGGCCGATGTAAAGAAACACATCCCAACCAGGCATCAGAACTGCTATGTCTATGTCATCGATATCGAGCGGAATGTTGTTTGTTAGAGTACGAAGAAATGTGTATTATTTCTTAAGTTAACAAGAGATCATTTTTGGTAACAGTGAAGTTTATGTATGTTCTTTTTACAATCTTGTATTAAAATCTTAATGTTGTACTTGCCATATTTTATGTTGAAGTATCTATTATATCCACTGCATGACAATGATAGATATTATTGTAATTTTTTCATAATTGCATAAATTGCAAATGCTATTCAGCTCTAAAATTAATTTTTTTTTAATATAGCTATTCTGACCTTTGCTAAAATGCGAGGAAATTATTACGGACTATAGAGTATATTCTTGTACACATTAGAATATAAATTAGAAATTTCTATTTTTTAAAACTACACCTATATATTTGAAAAATTAAGATTTAGTACTTTTGTTGTAGACATCAAGTAATTAAAAATTGTTATTATCGAAAACTGACAGCAAGAATTAAAAAAATGTGAAACTTATGTGGTATTTGTAATTGTATGGAACGTTTTTAGTTTAAATAAAATGGAGCCCCTCACATGAACAAGAACGTTCAAAGCCCTGAAAAAATGTGATTGCAGTTTTTCGTTTTGCGGTTTAAAAAACGATTTAGCAATACGAACTTTTTTCGTATGTTTTGACGACTATTTCTGGAACATTTTATCGCGAACGAGTCATTATTTTTCAGGTAACAAAGAACTGACGACCTATCTTCACAAGAAGACCAAGAAGATCAAGAAAATGAAGTGCGTTGAGTTTTCGTGTCCTAATTCGAATTGCCGGAGCGCTTTTGGCCTGAAAAACAACTTGTATAGACATCTTCGCTACGAATGCGGCCAGAAGCCCAGGTTCAAGTGTCCCTATTGCGACTACGCATGCAAGTTCAAGTTCGACATAAAAAGGCACATTCAAGCCAAGCATAAGAACTGCTATGTCTATGTCATCGATATTGTTCGGAATGTTGTTTGTTAGGATACAAGGGAATGTGTTATTTGTATAGTTAAAATTAAGATTAATTAAATAAGATTCAACATTTTTTTTATAGACATCAAATAATGAAAAATTGTTACTATTGAAAACTGACAATGAGAATTAAAGAGAAAGTGTGAAATTTATGTGATATTTGTAATTGTATGGAAAGTTTTTGGTTTAAATAAAATAGAGCATTTTACATGAACAAGAAGGTTCAGAGTTCTCAAAAATTGCGACTGCAGTTTTGAATAATAATGGCGTCTTTTCGTTTTGTGGTTTAAAAAACAATTAGCGGTACAAATTTTTTTCGTATGTGTCTTGACGACCATCTCTGTAATATTTTATCGCGAATGAGTCGTTATTTTTCAGATAGCAAAGAATCGACGCTCCATCGTCGCAAGAGGAACAAGAGAATGAGGGGGTGCGCCAAGTTTCTGTGTCCTAATCCGAATTGCCAGAGCGCCTACACGTGCAAATACAACCTGCAGACCCACATTCGTTACCACTGCGGCCAGAAGCCGAGGTTCAAGTGTCCCTATTGCGACTACATGTCCAAGTTCAAGAAAGACATACGGAGGCACATTCAACGCTTGCATAAGAATCACTATGTCTATGTCATCAATGTTGAGCGGAATGTTGTTTGTTAGGATACAAGGGAATGTGTTATTTGTTAAGTTAACAAGAGATCGTTTTTGATAACAATAAAGTTAAAGTATGTTTTTTTAATTTTTTTTATTATTTTTTTTTTTTTATTTAAATTACAGTCTGAGTACACTTGCCATATTTTATGTTCAAATTTTTTCTATTGTATTCGCTGTATTTAAAACAAATAAAAGTGATTATTGTAATAATTTTTTCATAATGAAAAAAATTCCAAATTTTATCTTGCTATAAATTTGATTTTCTTCTTTAAAAATTATAGATATTCTGACTTTTGGTAAAATGCAAAGAAATCTTATTGACGATATTCTTGCACACATTGGAATATATGTATTGGAAGTTCCTATGTTTAGAAAATATA